CAGGAGAATACAACAACACAGGATGATACCACAACATAGGAGACTACGACATCACAGGAGAATACAACAACAGAGGAGAATACGACATAACAACACAGGAGAATACAACAACACAGGAGAATACGACGTCACAGGAGAATGAAACAACAGAGAAGAATACAACATAACAACACAGGAGAATACTACAATATAGGACAATACTACAACACAGGAGAATACATCAACACATGAGAATACAACAACACAGGAGAATAACACAACACAGGAGAATACAACAACACAGGAGAATACAACAACACAGGAGAATACTACAACAGAGGAGAATACGACACCACAACACAGGAGAATACAACAACACAGAAGAATACGACGTCACAGGAGAATGAAACAACAGAGAAGAATACAATATAACAACACAGGAGAATACTACAACATAGGACAATACTACAACACAGGAGAATAAACAACACAGGAGAATACGACAACACAGGAGACTACGACGACACAGAAGAATACGACGTCACAGGAGAATACTACAACAGAGGAGAATACTACAAAAGAGGAGAATAGGACATCACAACACAAGAGAATACTACAACACAGAAGAAAACAACAACACAAGAGAATACAACAACACAAATGAATACTACAACACAGGAGAATACAACAACACAGGCAAATACAACACAGGAGAATACTACAATAAAGGAGAATACAACATCACAACACAGGAGATTACTACAACCCAGGAGAATACTACAACATAGGAGAATGCAACAACACTGGGAATACTAGAACACAGGAGAATATAACACAGGAGTATATAACACAGGAGAATACAACAACACAGGGGAATACAACAACACAGGAGAATACGACAACACAGGAGAATACAACGTCACTGGAGAATACTACAACAGAGGAGAATACGACATCACAACACAGGAGAATACAACAACACAGGATAATACGACGTCACAGGAGAATACTACAACATAGGAGAATATGACAACTCAGGAGACTACAACAACACTGGAGAATACTACAACACAGGAGAATACAACAACACAGGAGAATACGACAACACAGGAGAATACAACGTCACTGGAGAATACTACAACAGAGGAGAATACGACATCACAACACAGGAGAATACTAAAACATAGGAGAATACGACAACTCAGGAGAATACAACAACACTGGAGAATACTACAACACAGTAGAATACAATAACACAGGAGAATACTACAACACTGGAAATTACGACAATAAAGTAGAATACGATGACACAGGAGAATACGACTTCACAGGAGAATACTACAATAAAGGAGAATACAACATCACAACACAGGAGATTACTACAACCCAGGAGAATACTACAACATAGGAGAATGCAACAACACTGGGAATACTAGAACACAGGAGAATACAACAAAATCGGAGAATACGACAACAAAGGAGACTACGATGACACAGGAGAATACGACGTCACAGGAGAATACTACAACTGAGGAGAATACGACATCATAACAAAAAAGAATACTACAACACAGGAGAATACGACAACACAGGAGAATACGACAACACAGGAGACTAAGATGACACAGGAAAATAGGACGTCACAGGAGAATACGAAAACAGAGGAGAATACGACATCACCACACAGGAGAATACTACAACATAGGAGAATATGATGACACAGGAGTATATAACACAGGAGAATACAACAACACAGGGGAATACAACAACACAGGAGAATACAACAACACTGGAGAATACAACAACACAGGAGAATACAACAACACTGGAGAATACGACAACACAGGAGAATACGAAGACACTGGAGAATACGACGTCACAGGAGAATACGAAACACAGGAGAATACGACGTCACAGGCGAATACTACAATACAGGAGACTACAACAACACAGGAGAATACATCAACACATGAGAATACAACAACACAGGACAATATTACAACACAGGAGACTATGACGACACAGGGGAATACAACGTCACTGGAGAATACAACAACACAGGAGAATACTAGAACACAGGGGAATATTACAACACAGGAGAATACGACAACACAGGAGAATACAACAACACTGGAGAATACTACAACACAGGAGAATTCAACAACACATGAGAATACGACAACACAGGAGACTACGACGACACAAAAGAATATGACTTCACAGGAGAATACTACAACAGAGGAGAATACTACAACATAAGAGAATACAACAACACAGGACAATATTACAACACAGGAGACTATGACGACACAGGGGAATACAACGTCACTGGAGAATACAACAACACAGGAGAATACTAGAACACAGGGGAATATTACAACACAGGAGAATGCGACAACACAGGAGAATACGACGTCACAGGAAGAATACTACAACACTGGAGAATACTACAACACAGGAGAATACTACAACAGAGGAGAATACGACATCACAACACAGGAGTATACTACAACACAGGAGAACACAACAACACAGGAGAATACTACAATATAGGAGAATACAACAAAACTGGTGAATACTACAACATAGGAGAATACAACAACACAGGAGAATAAGACGACACAGGATAATACAACGTCACAGGAGAATACTACAACAGAGGAGAATACGACATCACAACACAGTAGTATACTACAACACAGGAGAACATAACAACATAGGAGAATACTACAACATAGGAGAATACAACAAAACTGGTGAATACTACAACACAGGAGAATACAACAACACAGGATAATACGACGTCACAGGAGAATACTACAACAGAGGAGAATACAATACAGGAGAATACAACAAGGAGGATACAACAACACTGGAGAATACTACAGCACAGGAGAATACAACAACACAGGAGAATACAACAACACAGGAGAATACGACAACACAGGAGAATACGACAACACAGGAGAATACGACGACACAGGAGAATACGACGTCACAGGAGAATACTACAACAGAGAATACGACATCACAACACAGGAGAATACTACAACACAGCAGAAAACAACAAACAGGAGAATGCAACAACAAAGGAGAATACAACAACACAGGAGAATACTACAACAGAGGAGAATACAACAAAAATGGAGAATACAACAACACAGGAGAATACGACAACACAGGATAATACGACAACACAACACAGGAGGATACAACAACACAGGAGATTACGACAAAGAACAGCACCAACAGAGGTCAGCTATGGCTCTGCAGGTAGTGGTGCGGCTTTCCAGGTCTGTTCACCATGCTTATTTTTCCTAGAAGACAGCCGAGGTGGGCCACATTATAATGCTGGATCCAAAAGCAAAGTCACAGAAACACTGGGCTAAACACAAAGCAACAGCCATCCTGAAGCATGAAGACAAGGCCTTACCCTGGGGAGATTGAGATAGTGATCTAGAAGAAACCTCATATCAACCAGAAATCCCTCCCTCCAGACAATTTAAATGAGAAGCCATCCCTAGTGTGTTTAAGTCAGCTTGCTGTCAGACATTCCTGGTGTCCTCTGTCAAATCTGATACAGCAAGGAAAACCAATGGGAAAGCTCAATCTTACCAGGTGTGAGGTCCATGATTATAGTCTTAGCACCGGGAGACTAAAGCAGCAGGATTTTGAATTCTAGGCCATCATGGGCTACAGAGTAAAACCATGTAAGGGTGGTGGGGGGGGGTCGGTGGAGTCAGGAGTCTTGACCTAAGTTGTATTATGTATGCAATTGCAGTTGATTAAGAGACAAAGGGGGCTCAGAAGTAGATCCACAGAAAGGGGCATCCCCTTTTAAAGCTCTAGGATGATAACCTGTAGGGGAAACCAAAGCCAGCTGCCAGGGTTCCAGGATGCTGTGTGTGGCAGGGGGCACAAGAAGCTTAAATGGGAATGATACTGTAAAAGTCTCAAGGTAACAACAGCACCACTCCCCATGTTGGCAAAGGCGGCTTGGATAGAAGGGAGCTGTCAGTCAACAGGTTTACAATGAGTGCTATACACCAGGCACATTGCTCCCCACTTCAGGAGGCAGAGGCCTGACAGACTGAGCTGACTCTCAGAAGTCAGAAGGAGAGCATCAGGCTCATACCTGGAATGTCTGCACCTCCCCATCAAAATGTACATTCTAGGCACCACCCAGGACAGTCTGGACCAGGGACTGGGGGAGGACACAGGACTCTATTTTTAAAGTGAACACATGTGACTCTTGAGGATTACCAAGATGGACTATCCAAGCAGCTACTACATTGGTGACTGGAACACAGCAGGTCCAGACGTTCAGTAACAAGTACTTCCACAGTAAGTACATAACTGGCTGACAAATTTTTGAATTTTTTTCTGTAATAGTCAAAATGAGATTTTTCTGGTTAAATGAAAGTTTCATCTAATATTTAATGAATCAAAACATAGCCCACAGTTACTAAGAATGTTCTCCATCTATTTCTGGTGTTTATTACTTGAAGGTAGCCTGGGAAGGAACCTCTGAGCTTGGACACAAATCCTGCACCAGCTCACTATAGCCTTGAGAATATCCTGTGGACATGATGGAGTCCCAGGCTCCTCTTAGGACAAGCCCCAGGTTGTTTCTAGAAGGCTGTGTGCCAAGGAGCTGCCTCTCTCTTTCCTCTGGTCCCAACACCACATCCCCTGGAGTGAACTGAACCTTATCTTAGGAAAAGGTGATCTTTAAAGGGGAGAAACAGTAGTCATGATGCTCTCCCATCTCAAGGCCAGTCACTCCCCAGTGGCTTTGGTGAGCTCTTCACTGCTTCTTTTTTGTTGTTTGTTGATTTCAAGAGAGGGTTTTTCTGTGTGGCTTTGGAGCCTGTCCTGGAACTCACTCTGTAGACCAGGCTGGTCTTGAAACTCACAGAAATCTGCCTGCCTCTGCCTCCTGAGTGCTGGGATTAAAGGTGTGAGCCACCACTGCCTGGCTAAGCTTCTTCACATCTGTGGTCTGTTCCTGAAGGTCCCTTCCAGCTGACAGGATCTATTTGAGAAGTTCTGATTTCCTTCCTCCTAATCGATGCTGAAAGAAATAATTCCCTGTATAAAAAAATAATCACATACAAAGAGCAGGGTATCAGAGGCTAGGGACATGCAGCTAAGAGACACCAGGACCTGCCTTCTTGAGAAGTTCACAGACAGGGTTGGGGGTGTGGCTCAGCACTAGAGCACTTGCCTACCATTCCAGACCCAAAGAACAGAGCTGGAGCATATTCCAAGCAGAGAAGACAGGAGTGAATGGCTTGTGGTGTGAGGCGCATCCAAAGCCTAGGAAGAATTAAGTCACAGGAAGTGAGGCCAGCCTGCTTTTGGGGAAGAGAAACAGGTTCACAAAATATGAACTCATAAGCAATAGGAGCAATGTGACCCCAAGATTGATAAATCCTTACCTGCCCACTGCTATTTGGTTAGAACAGTGGTTCTCAACCTTCCTAATGCTGCAACCCTTTAATACAGTTACTCATGTTGTGGTGACCTCAACCATAAAATTATATTCATTGCCACTCCATAACTGTAATATCGAAACTGTTATGAATCATAATGCAAATATCTATGTTTCTGATAGTCTTAGATGACCCATGTAAAAGGGTTGTTCGAACCCCCAAAGGGGTCACGACCTCCAAGTTTAGAGCCACTGGCCCACACCTTCATACCTCAAAAGGGAAGGTGCCAGTCCCTACGGGATATGTGCAGCAGCCTCCAAGCTTTGTGCGACGGCTTGTATCTGTAAGACGGGCCCCACAGAGCAGGAGCCTGGTCTTGAGGCCAGCTATGTGGCAGGGATTGTGTATGGGCAGGTGATATGACGTGATACAGCACAACAGCAGAAAGGGCCAACAGGGAAAAGATGAAGACAAACTCTTCAGCTGCAGGTTCCGTGCATGCCTCCAAGGAGCTGAGGGTATTGGAAGAGGGGCAAGCACCCCAATACTGGGAATGGCATGAGCTTAGGCATGCAGGCTGGAAGGCAGTACACGTGTGACCACAGCAGTGCTACGGCTGGGGATGAAGGGAGGGTGCAGATTTGGAAATGTGGAGTAGTCCCAAGCTGCTACCCAGCAGGTGGCCATAACCATGATGGTCTTCAAGGTGACCTGGTGAAATCCAAGATCTGCTTAGACTGGTACTGTGGCTTTCTCCCTGAAATAGTAAAGTTTCTCCAATGTCAAAGTCCTGAGGATCAAACAGGGACAGGCTGAGTTACCTCTGGAATTTCCAGATAAGTAAAGCAGGATGGACTCTGGAACAAACCCCTGGTCAAAGTGGGAAACAAGAGCCCCTCGGCCTCCTACAGAATGAAATTCCAGCCCAGGTACCCTTTCCCGGCCATAGCAGTTATCCCGATAGACACACGTGTCCAGTGCAGAAAACACATCTTCAATGCCATGAGGGGAAGCAAGAATGGGAGCTATAAAGGACAGAGCATGGAAGGTTCCCTAACAGGGAAGAAGGGACATTCTAGGCAGAGAAGATAGCTTGTGTAAGGCCACCTTCAATAGTTAGGGAGCCAGGTGTGGTGACACATAAATAATGGAGCACTCAGGAGTACTGCCACAAGTTTGAGGCCAGCCTGAGCTCCACAGTGAGTTCCCAAGGCAGTTTAGATTACAGTGAGATCCTTTAAAAAAAGAAAAAAATCAATAGGATGTGAGGTGACCAGCCAGGGCTATGCAAACCTGTACTCCAGAACTCAAGAGACTGTGGCAGGAAGACTGTGAGTTCAGATGCTAGCCTGCTATGCATAACAATGTCTTGTGTCTCCCCAAAAAATAAAATAAAATGAGGCCATAGGCACATTTACGGGAAAAAGAGGTGAAGTTAAAGAAGAAAACCAGGCTGACAACAAAGCCTCGCCAAGCAATTGGGATGTGACACTGTAGTCAACACAAACATGCCATGGACACCTGAATTCAATGTGACCCTGGCAGGAGCTCCTGACAGTCACCAAGGAAGGCACAGACACAGGGAAGGCTGCCCTTGCCTCACTGTCCTTCCACCAACATCAAGTTCTGCCTTTCAGATCACCTACGCCCTTCCCCCCAAAATTACTCTGGACCCCCCCTCTGCACAACCACTGGGTCAAAACAGGGCAAGCCAGTGGATGAAGGTAAGGAGCACACTAGGTCAAGGGCCCAATCCTGGACAAGCAGAGGCAGGCGATAAATCAGAAGATGGAAGGGGTGGCAGCTGCCAGGCTGGTCAGCTCACAGCTTTCTCTTCCTCTTGAGGCGGAACCTGCTGCAGCTTATCTGACTGATTCACGTCCTTAAGTGCGGGAAGGAAAAAGGACACAGAGAGGACACGAGATGTTTTCCACCGAGAACCAAACCGACTGCAATGCCATGAATATTACTGAGAAATTCCAGTCCAACCTCGATACTTCTAGGGGCTTCCCCAAGACCCTGTCCAGCCCACTTAGCTCAGAATGACGACTGCTGATGTCTTCCAAATGAGCAATTCCATCCTCAGAAGCCAAAGCATATTAAAAGGAATGCGGACTGTGAAGGCACTTCTTAGGAACGCTGTGAAGCTAGCAAAAGGGGGGCAGGCTGATTCTCCAGCGAATGAAGCAGTGTTGAATGGAGCGGGAGACGGACTAGTTAATACTGCAGACCCATTTGGGCTTGGGTTGAGCCAGTCTGGCTCTAGGACACGCCCCCAGATCGGATCCCCAGCACGCTGGGCATGCATGTGCAGGGTGGGCACGCTGGGCCGGGGTGGAGGGAATCCACACAGACTACAGGGCATGGGAGGCGGACGGCGCTCCCGGGAGCCGCCAAAGACTGCTCACTCGAGAGTACAGGCACGGGCCACCCATCGCTCACCTTGCACTTGAAGCCGGCGGCGGGCGGCAGGAGCTCCCGCAGCAGGGCCTTGGCCACCTCGCGGCTGGCCTCCTCGCTCACGAAGTG